GGGAGGGAGGGAGGCGGCGGACGGTGGTGCAGGTGAGAGAGTGGAGAGAAATGAATTATTTAGGGTTTGGATTAGATTTAGGAAATTTGGGGAGGGGTTAGATATATAATATTTAATACTTGATTTAATTATTAATTCAATACCTGATTTTTAATTAAATAAATTTCACACTTGAATTTTGAATTTGAAAAATTAAATGCCTGATTTTTGGTAATTTCCCTTTATTTTTTTGTCTATAGTAATTAAATTCAATACTGAGAAACCATTCCTGAATTCTTTACTCAAAATTTCACCAAATTCGGCTGCCTAAAAAGTATGCCTTTAATGGAAACAATATTTGGCATCTTTTCCTTTTCTAAGTTGGCTCCATTTTATGACTACTCGAGAATTAGAAACTAGTCCATGTTTCTTTTTCCTATTCTAAATTAGGTATAAGACCTAGGACCCTAATTTTCTCAAATGAACGATGATATACAAACAATATTTGGCATATTTTCCCATTTTAAAGCCCTGCACACTATTTTTATAACCATTTGAAATAAAATTTGAGGGCTAGCCTCAAATGTGGGGTCTTAAGCGAACCATCTTATTTGTCTAGAAGTTAGTCAACTATGACACTACTTAACCAAGTAATATATAGAATTATGTTACAGTGACATAATTCTAGACATAATAGTTGATATAATATCATATGATACTTTATCACTGAACTGTTTTAAACACGGTCAGTTTTTTCATTCAATTACATATTATCAACATTGATTATATCACTCTATCTGTCAAACACTTTCTAACAAAGTGGTATAACCCTAAGATGTAATAGATTATTTGGAAGAAACCGCAGCATGAATAATACTAAATTAGCAATTAAATCAAAGTACTCAAGCAAACTAAAGAAGAAAAAATTTAGCACATGTCGGTGCAGCTTCTTTTCAAATTAAAATCCAAAATATGTCCGTTGGGAATGATCAGTTGGTCCCACTCGTGAGAGAATGGGTCAAAAATGTCATGCTGCAACCCACTCGTGAGAGAATGGGTCAAAAATGTCATGCTGCAACGGGAAAAAAATCAATTTCTTCCTAAAAAAAGGGCGCCCAGACAGGGTATTTCTCCATGGCTGGATAACTGACTCAAGAAAAAACAAAGGGTGGTGAAGACATCCATTGACTTTGATACTCTTACAAAATTCCTTGGGAATAGCCTAGGGCAACCCAACCCCAGTTAGCCTTTTCATATATATATATATATATATATTGGTCATCTCCTGGCTCCGTAGCTAATCTTGATCATTAACAAAAATAATAATATTCAAATGTTTTGTCCATATCCACACAGCTCACCGTATCGTCATCGACTCCATATGTGCTAGGCTTATGGGTAAGAAAAGTTGAGGAAGGTGGTGGATAAGAGGGAACTAGGGCGGCTGGTGACAGTAGGGGCATGAGAGCAAGTAGAGAAGTATTGGTTGGATAATTTTCTCGACCCTAGTTCAAGTCATTATATCCCGAGCATGTTTGATATACAGTAACAAAACCTTACATAGTTGAAATATTCTTAGAAAAGTGTTCACAACATCTATAAATAAGGACCATGCATTTGGAATTACACACTCGCAATAACTTTAGGATTTTCTTTGTTGAAGCAATGGTTAAGTTTCATCTAACAAGAAGTTTTGTTTCTCTATTTCTTAGTTTGATTTTTCTTCTTTATTTTCAAGTGAGCGATGCCATAAACTTTGGTCCCAAATCCCCATATTTTAATAAAATATATCAGCTTGGCACTTCAAAAGCCGATACCGGAAATTTAATTCGTGAAAGTCCATCAAGATCTATATGTTCAAGTTTTCCTTATGGTCAAAATTTCTTTAGGGGCGCAACTGGTCGATGCTCAAATGGTCTCCTTATCGTTGACTACACTGGTAAGAAATTATTCATTCAAGAAATTTCCGACAAGTTTGGCCTTTGTTTAGTATATGATCATTAATATTGGTGAATTTTTTTAACATCTCCTCGACTCAACTTGGTATCAAATGTCATGTGATTATCAGTTTTTAAAAGTTGTGCGTCGGGCATTTGATAAGACAATGAATCTGGCCTCCATATGAGAGGTGTATTGAAGACGAGTTTTGAATATATGATATATCCTGTCTAAAATTATTTGCATATGTATATATTCCAGCATTGTCAGCTGGTCTTCCGTTCCTGAATCCTTACAAGGAAATCGGAGCAGACTTCTCAAATGGCGTAAACTTTGCAGTAACAGGCGCAACTGCTTTACCAGTCGAAACCTTGGCAGCTATGAATATTAGATCGCCATACACTCCAAGTTCTCTTAATGTACAATTGGATTGGATGGCTTCTTTTTTCAATACCACATGCCACAGTAACAAAGGTTGTTGATTATTTAATCTTCGTGAAAAGGAATCAGTACTGTAAGAAATAATATGATTTTTTGTTTCAGATTGTGCAGAGAAGAATGCAAATGCTCTCTTCATGGTTGGAGAAATCGGAGCTAATGACTATAACTATGCATTATTCCAAGGAAAATCTATTCAAGAGGCAAAACAAATGGTACCACAAGTTGTTGGTGCGATCGCAAATGGTGTTAGGGTAAGTTTTCTTATTATAGATGCTGCTATATGTTGGCTAAAGCCACTTTTGTTGACCACAAGCAACCACCGCGTCAACAAACCATTTAAAATTAAGTTTGAGCCACGTTATTTTCTTAATTTTCTGCTCATTTTCAACCACACATTCTTCAAAAAAATAATATTTTCTATCACATCAATAAATTTTCCTNTTCTATCACATCAATAACTTTCCTTTCTTTTTCAACCACATAGTCCCCATCACATAAACAAAAAACACATTCTTGACTAAAAAATGTTAAAGAAGAAAACTTATGTGCAATACTAGCATTACTATGGATCTGTTTGGGAGTTCCAGCGTACCGGTATGAGCATTTTTTAAAGTATCGATTTTGAGTGTTTATGAGTGATTATAGTAGCGACGTTTAAAATGGTACAACCCATGTTTAGAGAGTATTATTCATCGGTTTTGAAAGTTTTTTAAAAAAGTAAAGTTCCATAAGTGAAATTTTGAGTTTATAGTTCTTACATTTTTTTTTGTATGAAATTCTTTAATTATAAGTGTTATTTTAATTATATGTAATTTTTTTTACATATAAATTAATATTTAACTTAAAAAGTTAAAATAAAATTAAATATTTACTTAAAATTTTATGTTAGTATTTATTGGTTATATATAAACTTTATGATTATAAGTTAATTTTGTACTTTTAAATAATTTTTAACATAAGCAAATTTTTTTCTTATAAATAACTTCTTGTATTTTATAAGTGATTTTTGTCTTATTAGTAAGATTTTTAAACAAAAATAATTTTTTTATATTAGTATAATTTTATTTAGAAGTTAGTATTAAACAAAAATATGTTTATTAGAAATAATTATTTTATAAAGGGTAAAATTAGAAGATAATTTGAGAAACGGTCAAAAACCGCTGATTTGATCAGTTAAAATTACACTACATCGTTTTTGGGTGACTTTTAAACCATCTAAAGTCGGTGCCCAAAAATCTAGCAAGTACCGATTCTTCTAACTCTTCATAAACGATGCCACCAAAAATCGGTGAAAATTAAAACTCCCAGGCCTTGAGGGAAATATTTACTGGAAAATAGATGATGTGGTTTGAAGATAAATGCGTACCATTGTGTAGGGGAAAAGAAGCAGTGCGCTATCTGCTATACATAGTAGAGAGTAAAAATAATGAGGGGAGAGACATGTAAAATTATAGAGGAAAATATATTAATTTCTCATATTATAAATCAGTGTATATGTGCTTCTTTTATGGTCACTGTAACTATCTTTTGGTGATGTTACAGAGTAATCCAGTTTGGAGCTACTCGAATAATGGTTCCTGGTAATTTCCCCGTTGGTTGTTTTCCACTATATCTTACTGGGTTTCNTTAATTTTCTGCTCATTTTCAACCACACATTCTTCAAAAAAATAATATTTTCTATCACATCAATAAATTTTCCTTCTTTTTCAACCACATATTCCCCATCACATAAAAAAAAAAAACATTCTTGACTAAAAAATGTGTTAAAGAAGAAAACTTATGTGCATTACTAGCATTTACTAAGGATCTGTTTGGGAGTTCCAGCATACCGGTATGAACGTTTTTTAAAGTATCAATCTTGAGTGATTATAGTAGCGATGTTTAAAACGGTACAACCCATGTTTAGAGAGAGTATTATTCATCGGTTTTGAAAGTTTTTAAAAAAAGTAAAGTTCCATAAGTGAAATTTTGAGTTTATGATTTTTACATTTTTTTTTTTGTATGAAATTCTTTAATTATAAGTGTTATTTTAATTATATGTAATTTTTTTACATATAAATTAATATTTAACTTAAAAATTTAAAATAAAATTAAATATTTACTTAAAATTTTATGTTAGTATTTATTTGTTATATATAAACTTTATAATTATAAGTTAATTTTGTACTTTTAAATAATTTTTAACATAAGCGAATTTTTTTCTTATAAATAACTTCTTGTATTTTATAAGTGATTTTTGTCTTATTAGTAAGATTTTTAAACAAAAATAATTTTTTTTATATTAGTATAATTTTATTTAGAAGTTAGTATTAAACAAAAATTATGTTTATTAGAAATAATTATTTTATAAATGGTAAAATTAGAAGATAATTCGAAAAACGGTCAAAAACCGCCGATTTGATAGGTTGAGTGAATCAGTTAAAATTACATTACACCGTTTTTTGGTGGCTTTTAAACCATCTAAAGTCGGTGCCCAAAAATCTAGCAAGTACCGATTCTTCTAACTATTCATAAACGATGCCACCAAAAATCGGTGAAAATTAAAACTCCCAGGCCTTAAGGGAAATATTTACTGGAAAATAGATGATGTGGTTTGAAGATAAATGCGTACCATTGTGTAGGGGAAAAGAAGCAGTGCGCTATCTGCTATACATAATAGAGAGTAAAAATAATGAGGGAAGAGACATGTAAAATTATAGAGGAAAATATATTAATTTCTCATATTATAAATCAGTGTATATGTGCTTCTTTTATGGTCACTGTAACTATCTTTTGGTGATGTTACAGAGAGTAATCCAGTTTGGAGCTACTCGAATAATGGTTCCTGGTAATTTCCCCGTTGGTTGTTTTCCACTATATCTTACTGGGTTTCAGACCAATGACTCAACAGCTTATGATGAAGAATTTCATTGCCTTAAAGACATAAATAACTTGTCAATTTATCATAATGAGCAACTGCAAAAAGCCGTTGATGAATTGAAGGCACAAAACCCAAATACCAGTATTATCTATGCCGATTATTACAATGCCTACCTTTGCCTAAAGCGCTATTATTGGGTAAGGGAATTACGAAACTATAACTATTAGCTTGCTTGTTAGGTTAGATGAATTAGGACAATATTAAGATACTGTCTGATCATGTCAAGTACGGTGAACCAAACATGCATTTGACTTATTATGTTCTTCGCTGTTGCAGGCTTTGATATCAATGCAGTACAAAAAGCTTGTTGTGGAATTGGAGGTGCTTACAATTTTGATATGAACAAGTTTTGTAGTATGCCCGGAGTACCTGTCTGTCCCAATGCGTATAGATACATAAGTTGGGACGGAATTCATTTGACTCAACATGTGTATGAATTGATCTTCGAATGGTTGATGCACAACACCTTTACAAAATTGCCACTCCATTTTTAAAGGGCTTGCAAATGGATGCAAATTAAACCCATTGCGTTCAATAAACCAAACAATATGTATATGTATCTATATGCATATACGTGATCACCAACTAAAAATAAAGGAAGATGTTGATAATTGATAAGAACTTTTGGAGATTTTATAAAATCGCCGTATAAGAAAGTTATTATGAACATGTTTGGAGTGACTTATTTTAAAGATAAACTCCAAATCTGTTATTTATGTTTACTTATTCTCAATGTAAGTGGATCCACATTAAATATAAATCACATATATATTACTTATCTTTAAGATAAGTTACCCCAAACATGCTCTATGACCACTACAGAAAGTCAATTAAATATAAATCACATATATATTTCCTGAAAATTGTCAATTAATTGTGTTTGATTAGTATAATTTTTCACGTGGAATATATTGAAATTTTGGATCTTTTGATATTCATTTGACTTTATTTTACATGAAAATTGTCCATTAAAGGGATATATAATTTGTTTCCATTGCTAAAAAAAATTTAAAAAAAGGTGGAAAACCATTTTCTCACCAAAAGTGGTGGGAAAACAAATTCTATGAAAACCAAGAAAAGGAGGTCACATGTGGGTTGAGAGGAAAACCAATTCCAAGGAAAATTTTGCCAATCAAACATTCATTTTCTACCTTTTACCTTTTACTAAAGGTTCAATCATGGAAAATGAAAGATATCAAACATGCCCTAACACTATAAGTTTTAAAACTTACGGTTCGTTTAATAGGCAAATGTGGACAAGAATTTCGATTCCATGTTTATTGGAAAATAAAAACCCATCAAACCCATAAGAATTCGTTTTCCATGAAAATGAAGAAAATACAATTTAAAGTGGTTGTATCTTGGAATTTGGTTTCTATTTTCATATTGCAATCAAACGGTCAAAATAAAATTCGTTTTTCTCGAATTTAGGAAAATGTGACAATCAAACATGGCTTTAATTCTAAAGACTCATTTGAATCATAAAAGGTGTTTGGCCCATGGCCTTTTATTTAATTTAAAGTAACATTTGATGGAATTAAAGCCTCATTTGAATCATAAAAGGTGTTTGGCCCATGGCCTTTTATTTAATTTAAAGTAACATTTGATGCATGTAGACATGAACATGAAAGAATTAAATGTAAGGTTTGTCCACGTATAAGCGAGTTTTTATGACGACTATTAATATTTATGGAAAACTATTTAGCAGATCCGAAGGTTTAGAAAAAAATAAAATAAAATAAAATAAAATTGTTCATTAGGCCAATCATGTCAATAGAACCCCAAAATTTTACACCGACCTAGTCAAAACCATCACTATTTATTAAAGAAACATATGGCCCATTGGCAAGACTTTTAAAAAGTCAAAAGTTATTTCTGAAATTAAGAAAATTGCTTTTGAACATGGGATCTGTTTGATTGTAATGGTGGAAAGAAAATGAATTTTAGAGAAAGTAATTGTCTAGAAATTATTTTGTAGGGAATTGTTAATTAAGTATGTTTGATTGATATAATTTTTCACTAGGAAAATCTTAAAATTTTGGATTTTTTTTTGTATTCGTTTGGCATTGTTTTATATGAAAATTGTCCATTAAAGTGATAATTTTTCCACAATTGGTTATAAAATTGTTTCAATTACCAAAAAGTAAAAAAAAAAATCTTAAAAAATCATTTTTTAAATCAAAATTTGACTTTATTTTATATAAAAATTGTCCATTAAAGTGAATTTTTTTTTATAATTAGTTATGAAATTTGTTCTCATTGTCCAAAAAAAAAAAAAAAAAATAGAATTCAGTTTTCCCACCAAAAGTGTGGGAAAACCAATTCATCAAAAAGTGGCAACTTAGGCCCGGGAACTGAATAGCTGGAAATCATTTTGTCTAGAAAATAATGTTAATCAAACAAGTCAAAACCAAGAATATGGAAATCAATTTCTAAGTTTCATGGAAAAAGATGCAAATCAAACACTACCTCAATTTTGTGAAAGTGTCTTGTTTGACTAGAAGAACTTTTAGGGGAAATCGATCTAAGGTAAAATCATTAGAACGTTCTTCCCTAAGAAGCAGAAATAAGAAGAGAATCCTTATTATACAAGATCTTCATTCCTTCGTCTATCTATACAGAGTATTACTTTTCAATTTATCAAATCTAATTTTACTAGAGGCAAAATGTAAAACCTCAAAATTCATAGGTAGGAGCTATATATTTTTTTGGCTATATAATGATAAAGTAACACAATCATCTTTAAAGACTTCATAATCTTCTTTAGTGGTTTTGACATTCATATCGTATCATGCACACCATGTGAAACTCTTTAATGACATTGTACTTGAACAAACTTGGCCTGCACATTAATTCAACTTACTTTATTTGGGATTGTATCACTACAACTTTTGGACCCACCCAATTTTTAGTTGAACATCTTTCTCTATGGTTCTATAATGTAACATTTCATGTTTTTTAAAGCTCGATCGAGCATGCAGGATAGAAATCTCAATTATTTCGCTTACGCCTCTTCATTTGTTCAATATTAGATTAGTGGAGAGAGCGCTGATTTTTGTATTTTTAAAACTCGAGAACGTGTTTCCATTCGTAATTTGTTTATAATTTTGCAAGAAACTTTATTTTTAATAGATTTAGTACGTGATTCCTTTTATCACATAAGATCATAAACATTGGGGATGAAATTTTCTTCGCACCCAATAATTCATGAAAATAACTTCTTTTCACTATCAGCATCACTTTCAAATTGCGACTTCACCGGGCATTAAATTAAGTTATTCATAGCCATATACTTTTGTCTTTATGTACCCCAACAAAAGTGTCTTTATGTACCCCAACAAAAGGATGATATCCCTCCATAATAAATTACATCATAAATCGTGTTTCAAACTCAAAAAACGTCCAAAATTTGATATGTATGAAGAACATTCAATAATAGCTTTACACAAACTATTGAAATTTTCAAGAGTTTGAAATAAGTCTAAGGGTGTGTTTGATAGGGTTGATTTTTCATTTTCCATGTTTTTTGGTGTTTGAGAACATGTTTTTTCTTGGCAATTTGAATTGCCACTTTCTCTCATGGTGACAATTTCTAGTTTTTCCTTGAATTCTTTTTTCACACCATTTAGGTTAGAAAATGGTTTCCATGTTTTTTTTATTTTTTTTTTTTTTGTCAATGAAAACAAATTTCATAACTAGCTATAAAAAAAATCACTTTAATGAATAATTTTTATGTAAAACAAAATCAAATGAATACTAAACTTTGATTAAAAAATGATTTTTTTAGGAATTTTTTTTTTCTTTTTTTTTTTTTATTTTTGGCAATGGAAACAAATTTTATAACCAATTGTGGAAAAAATTATCACTTTAATGGACAATTTCCATGTAAAACAAAGCCAAGCGAACACAAAATTTAAAAATTTTTCGGGTGGAAAATTATACCAATCAAACACACTAAATTAACAATTCTCTACAAAATAATTTCTAGACAATTACTTTCTCTAGAATTCATTTTCTTTCCATCAATTTTCCACCATTACACTCAAACGGACTCTAAGTTTGAAGTGGATCACTTAATTTACTATTGTGGGTCTAAATCCATCAATTTTACAAATGAAAGCATTGAAGTGGCCACGCCTAATAATTTGTATTCAGATCAAATTCATTTATATCATGTCAAAATCATTTTTTAACTCTACACACTAAAAAAAGAATAATGATATTTAGTTCTATCGAGGTTATAATCACAGTATATGTGGTATTAGGTGATAGGCAAAAATGAAGTTTTTAATATCACATTAACGCTACGTGAATAATCCCAATGAAGTTAAATACCATTATTCCTATAAAAGGGCAAAAGATAGCTGTTGACTACAGGCCAATGCCGCGTTTCAAATCTTAAGTAGTTGGAGATTCCAAGGCAATCTTTCCTTTAGTTGTTCTGTCTTTTACTTTCCCTTGGTCCCTATTCCTGCCTTCTTTTCTTCTTATTCTTGCCTTCTTAACCTTTTCTTTGAAAAAAAATATGGAAGGAATCAAACAAAGACACCAATCACAAAAAAAATTCAGAGCAAAAGTTAAAAATGAGCAATGCATACCTTTTAAGACCTGTTTGAGTTTATTATTATTATTTTTTTTAATAATGACTTTTTGAAAAATATGTGAATAAAAAATAAAATTTTAGATTTACATACAAATTATTTTATTGGAAGAACGTATAGATAAAAATGAGTTCGAAAAAAAATGAATTTCTAGATTATACAACTCAAACAAGGACGAAGTTTTAATTGTTTTTCTCCCTATTCCTTTTCGTAGTTCAAGTTTCTTACTTTCCTTGGCTTTGAGCGAGAGAAGATCTTATGTAAATTGGGACACGTTATAGATGTTAATGGCCAGTTAGTAAGTGGTATAATTGGGAAGAGTATTGACTCGGGTCGCTTGATAGACAAGGCATGCTACAATTTTTCATATGAAAATTTGAGAATGCTTTTGAATATCTGAAATGGGATCTTTTTCTGTTTACTTGGAGCTTGTATGGGAGGGATTAAAATCAGATTAAAATTGAAAATATAGTCGTTATTGTTGACTTTTATTAGACGAGCGGGACCCAATAACGGCTATATTTTCAATTTTAATTTGATTAAAAGTTCTCTCAAACAAGGCCTTGGTATGTATGTACATAACTAGCAGTTAGAACTTACCTCCAGCTGTAGGTGATATCTCGCTCTCTCTCCAACAAATTCAAAATTTCAAATCCCCATTGTCCATTTGTCAAGAACGTGCATAGTTTTAAAATTCAAAAGAAAATAAGAAATAACCCAAATCCCACAAATTTAAAANTA